ATTCCGAGCAGGAGGGAGGCCGTCCAATATTTCTCGCCAAGGAGGGATCACCTCATTAGCGTGAATCGGTGACACGAAAGAATGAGTCGGATACCGGGGGTAGTCAGATACCGGAGGTAGTCGGATGCAGGAGGTCGTTGGATACAGGAGGCAGTCAGATACCGGAATCGGAAGCGGGATTGTTCTGCCAGGACGAAGTAGACCTCGCAGGAAAGCGACGTCTCACGTGACAATCCGATTCGATCGGATCCGGAACTTCTCTCGAGTTTCTCGGCTGTCTCCGTCACGTGTGAGGAAACGCCGAAATCTGTGAAATGAGATCTGCCCTTTACGATGAAGGAAGTAAGCGCTTCTAACTCGGGCTGATCGATTCTCTCGTCGTCTTGCGCCTATTCCTTAATTTAATTTATTATTTATTGTTTTTATTATGTGTTATTTATTTATAATTTAAGTCCATGCAGAGACATAGAGGAGACAAGAGCAACGGTTTGGTTCGGTCGGGACGGACCACCTAGGAGAAGGAAGTCTCGCCGGCTAATCTGATCCCGCCAATCTGATCCCACTAATCCATCCGATCGGATCGGATCAGGACTTTCCATCAACTCCCCGGCCATTCTCTCCGGTTATCCGGTCGCGAGAACCAGAAGAACCAGTTTGCCGAGACGGAAGAAAGAAAAAAATTTGCATATTGACTCGCTAATTCGCTGGTTTTTTTGTTGGCGGATCGATGGAACGAACATTAAAACCCTTTCAGACAGTTTCGATGAGAGATAGAGATAATCGCTTAATCGCCTCGAAGAAACAAAAATCGCATTCTGATTCTCGACCACCACAATATTCATTTACCGCGAATAATATTATTTGTAATGGTATATCACGAAAAGTGATGAAGGATAATCATGAAAAGTGATGAAGGATAATCATGAAAAGTCATGAGGGATAATCATTAGGTGATGAAAATGAGGCGACTGGCGATGCAGTCTTGGGCAATTTTTTGATTTGCCCTAACTTTGCCCTGTTTTGGCCTGAAAATGCCGGATTCCCCGGCTGAGTCATTTCGTGTCGATAGTACTCGGAAAAAAAGTACTTCGCGGTCTAATTTTGGGAGACGGTGTCTCCCAAAATTAGACGCTAATCGTTGCCAGGCCCCGCGGTGGTCTTGGCATCTCGCGTGGCTGAGGAGACATGTGGCTGAGGAGACACGCCGCGGGAGCGAGCGGTTCTGGACACGGGAATTTATCGTCGCGCTCGCCGAATTTCGTTAAAAAGAATATGCAGAAAAGTTTTTTAATTTCCAATTTAAAAAATAATAAATAAATTGTTATATATATTCTTTTTTTTAATTTTGGCTTGAAACTCGATTCCAGTTAACTGGAAATTTTACCAAAATGGCTGCAAATGCCTAAAAGAAAACCAAATTACCTGTAGACATTTCCAAATTTGAAGTTCATCGGGCTTGTTACGATGCGTTTCGTGTTTGCCGCCGTGTGCTTCTCCCCCCCCCCCCCCCCCCCCCCCCCCCCCCCCCACCCCCCCCCCCCCCCCCCCCCCCCCCCCCCCCCCCCCCCCCCCCCCCCCCCCCCCCCCCCCCCCCCCCCCCCCCCCCCCCCCCCCCCCCCCCCCCCCCCCCCCCCCCCCC